TATATGCAGGTAACAATACATTCAACAGACTGGAGAAAATAAAGTACTGAGTATAGCATGAAGTACAATAAAAAAAAAAACAAGCAAGGCCCTGCTCTGAAAATACTGCTTTCTCTTTAACTCAAAACTGAGAGTAGAGATAAATAGCACACTCCTCTTAAGCATATAATTATAAACATATATAAACTTAGGATTAACATATTAGCTTTATTATTTTAAAATAATGTACCTTTATAACACTGAATGCTCTAATAAACTGAAAATGTAAACATGAACATATTAATGTTCATGTTTACAATAATGTTTAATGTGTAATATATGTATGTACACACACACACACACACACACACACACATATGTCTGTATGTATATATACAATGTGCCATAATATTTGCACAGGTCACATTTTATGCTTTATTTTTCCCTCAATATGTCCAGCAAATAAACAGTAATTGTGCATTCACTGCACCAAAACTTTTGCATACGACTGTACTGAATCAAGACACGATTATTTCGTACTGAACTGAACTGTAAATTTTGTGAATCATTCCTTTAACTTACATAATGAGCTCCGTTTACATTGTGTATCAGCAGGCTTGAGTCTGTACTTGGTCTTTTTTCTGTTTGCTGGTGATAACTCTGACTTCTGAGGGTTAATGATTCAGCAGATAGGAGCTGTGTCTTAGAGCCCTTATAATCAGTAAAGAAGGCAGCGTGCCTACGATGATGAATGGGCGGTGTTGTAAAGCACTTGGGTGATGGGCGGAGAGGACAAAGAATTTCAAAATTTGAAAGGAAAATTACAACACTCAGTCTCCATTTCAGCAATGCTCTTGCATTCGTGAGTTAGCTGTGGTCAGATTACAGCAACCTGCATGAATTTTTCATCACTGTTTATCAATACTTGTATGAACGAGAATCACTTCCAGCTGCTCAAACTCAACAAAACTTACAGAAAAGCCTGACAATGTTACAGGAACCCTCAGAGGAATCTCCTCACACTGTATATGGTTTAAATGCTTGAAGTTAAAAGTTAAAATGATGACGCAAATACACCTATAGACACATCTCACGCGTATTGCGTGGAATGAGTACACAGAGTACACCATTCTTCAGAGGATGTTGCTCACTCTTGATAAGTGGACGTCAATACTTCACAGAGTCATCTTGTCACATCCTTCCCTCTGTGCACTGACAGAAACAGCTATTTTTTATGTTAAACATGCTAATGCCTAGTGCTGGACAAATATAGTGGTTTTTCAGATTCACAGAAGAACCACTTCTGATGGATGGCTCTTCTAAGAACCACTTTAAATGAGCTGCAAGTGTGAAAACTTTTTTTAAAGTTTAAGGAACCTCCACATTATGTAAATATTCTATAGGTTTTTTTGTATTTTATTTGTTCCCCTGATGTCCACTCATATGTTTATGCACCAAAAAGAGTCATAATTATTTTTTACATGACCATTTTCTGACCACTCTTTATTGCTTTGAATTAATCAGGCCATTCTTGTTACTGGGCCTTTAAGGCTGATATATGTAAATTACCTTTGTTGTGATTGGCTGCCCTGTATTGTGCTTCATTCAAAAAGCAGTCCAGGCTGAAACACTCCTTATAACTTCAACATGAATGGGCAGGGCTATACTGCTCTAGGCAAAATAGGCAGGTATATATAAAAGAGTTGGATTTTGTGACATCACAAGAACCCTGCATTACAAATGGGTTGTTTTGTCACTTATTTTTTTCATACGTGGACTTAAAGACTGCAAGTGAATGGTAAATGGTAAAAAAAAGAGAGGAAAATTTAGTGTTCCATGATATGGGCCCTTTAAAGGTTTTTCCTAGGACAACACACCCAAGCCCTTTATTTTAAGGAATGTATATGATGTATACAAATGAAGAATCAATAGCACTGTATCCACAACAATGTTCTAGTCCAGGGGTGTCCAATCTTATCCGCAAAGGGCCAGTGTGGCTGCAGGTATTCATGCCAAATGAGCTGGAGCACACCTGATTCCACTTGTTTAATCAGTTGGTCTCCGTCTTCAGCAATTAATCACATGTGCTCCAGCGCTGTTAATTAATCACATGTGCTCCAGCGCCCTTTGCAGAAAGGCTTGGACACCACTGTTCTAGTCCATAAAATAACAATGTCCCTATTACTAAGCTATTTATTTTTAGATTTCCTATATGCAAGATCTTTCAGTTAACTGCTACGCGTCTTATTTGCTGGGTGCATCATACTGATTTGAAAGAACAATTGAAAATGCTAAAAAGGTTTGTAGAGATGGCATGATACCACTCTTTCTTTTCTGATATTGATACTGAAACCTTGAGTATCGGCATGTCTGATACCTTTCCTTTAAAAAGGACTAAGCTTTAAAATGAGTTACATCTGTTCCAGCATTTTCAGCTGATATTGTCCTGACACTGAGGCCCATTTAAGCCATCCCAAAGTTTCCTTTCTGGTAATCTGTTTTTTTTTCGTTTTGTTAATGTTTACAACACTGTGCAAGGTACCTTTTAGCATACAAACCTCCAGCGGCCAGCACTTGGAGATGCTGTCGCGTGCGCCCTCTCCACCACCCCCACCGCCCCCAGGGCCCAGCGGTCAGACGCAGTGGAGTCATGCTCCAGTTGGAGCTCTACTCATGTCTCTAAGGCTTTTCCATCTGCTAATGAGCTTTCATGATGGGACCTGAGCTAATCAGACGGAGGTTAGAGCTGCAGGGACTTCAGCATCACTAGAGGCAACAGATACAGAGCTCTGAACAAAACACATCCATGGAATCCAGTTCCCTCAGGAACAACTGAAGCATTTATTTATAAAGGTTTCAATAAAGCTGAAGAATAAGCCTTTTCCTCTTTAGCTGTATCCTGAGGATCATCAGAAACACTTAGATTGGTCAGCTGCTTCAATAATGGCTAACTGACACCAGGGGAGGATGCAAAATCATGCAACACCAAATGTTCCACTTCCTGTGTCGCAGACCAGCAGGATCAGTTGTCATTCCCCTACGGCTCCGAGTGACCGCACAATGCAAATACTCTCCATCAACACATGGACATCTGTTCCAGCCAAAATCAACACAGCCAAACCAGAGCAATGCACTCATGTACTGTTATAGTACTGAGACTCTATAACAAAGTGCAGTGGTGTAACTAAGATCCTATGGGTCCTAGTGAAAAAAAGGATGGGCCACTCCATACAAAAATACGTATAATAATAAAATGTCTCAACCAAGCTGGTGCTCTGATGTGGGGTAATGGTTAAAGCTGCCAGAGTCAGTGTAAATTTGTACACAGCAAATTTGCCAGTGTTAAGTCTACACTGAAAGTGTTAAATTGTCTGAAAGTGCTAAAATTTTACCACTTGAACTGATGTAAAATACCAACACTTAATAAAGCGTATCTAATGCATATTGGTGTGGACCTAAATACACTGAGAAAGTGCTGAATTTAACACTCCATGTAGATTTAACACTGGGAAATTTGATGTGTGGTTAAACTCCCCGATAAGGAGTTTTATCAGCTCAGAGTTTTATCAGCTCGCTAATAACAACTCCAGAACCAACTCTCATCAACACTAAAATTTTAACTCTGAAATATCAACACTTTTTAACACTAAAACCTGCTCTGTGACATAAGTGGTCAAGTATAGTTTCGTGGGGGACCGATGTGATCTCATAACGATCTCAGGACAACTTGATAATTTTTTGGTGCTGGATTGTGGATAAATCCAATGCAAACAAGAGAACGTGCCCCGAAATTCCTCTCATCAGTGCCCTTTTAACATCTAGAGGACAATCAATAACACAAGGTTGTTGGAGTGACTGTTCAGCCATGATAACCTACGTTATATTAATGGCCTAACGACAGACGTGTTGTGTTAAAAAAAGTTCAGTGTTCAATGAGCGCAACATCGCCCCCTACTCAGAGTTGGACTTGGTTTAGATATTTTACGGTTTGTTCTAAGCCTAAAAGTCTATGGCTCAGCCCACATTTAACCCAAAATTTCTCATGGTTGGCCTCAAACGTTCTTGTTATGAGATTCAAATCTGACCCCACAAGACCAGGTAAAATAAAAACATCAGGGCCCCCTGTGATATGAGCCCCAGAGTGATTACCGTGCCTGCATTGCCGCAGGGGTGTACATAAATATTCATTTTTTTTAATAAGGGGTTCGTGAGACAGTACATGCTCTGAAATGAATACAGTTAGATTTTACGCCATAAGAATATTTGTATAAAACACCATTTATATCACAGTTACTGATGTGAATGGTAAGTGTTTCACTGTAACTTCCACTGAAAAACACTCTATGATATTTCTAATTGCTAATTTAAATTTATTTGTCTTCTAAGAAAAGTACTTATTTTTCTTAGGGATGCACACTTATACTGGAATTATATGGGTATAGATATTTGTTTTTTATTGGCATCACTCGGATTGTACTCCAGCAGAGCAGAATGTTTAGACAGCCGTTGCACCAAGATGTCTGCATTTTATTAATCTTACTACATTTGTAACCCTCTACAGATAAGTGTTACATATCTTCATAATGCTAAACCAGATAGATCTAGTCACAATTTCTACATGTTATAAATGTTTATAAAATATACACTGAGTATGCACATTACAAATATCAGATACTGACACTGACCCAGAATTCTCATATCAGTGCATCCCAATGAATTCTTCTTTAACCAGATGCTGCAGTCATGTTTTGCCAATTTGTATCAAAAAAATAAAAGCAAAATGAAGTGTTTTTTTTTTTTACTTCAGTGTTAAAAACGTGTTGTAACGTCTAAGTAACTTGGTGCAATAACCACAATCATATTGAGAAATTTGTGAGTCGCTTCACTATACATTGTTGGCATTTACATCACTGAAGAAGTGTTAAAGTAAAGTAAAAGTTAGTGAATGGAACAAGGCCCAAATAAGCTTAGAGTGAGTTGAGATGTTCATCACTGTAAGTGCACACACAGCAGCCACTCACTCATTTCTCTGTAGCTGAAGAACCAGCTCCACTCCCTCTGCAGTGATCTTGACTTCTGCTTCTAAAGGATGCTGATGATGGAAAAAAAAGACTTAGCATCACTGGACATGGCAACGGAAATGCCAGTAAAAGAGCATTTTCACACCTTGCTATCTGTGACTGGTCTAATGTGCCGGTGTGACAGGAAGTCATATGTAGCTAGACCATTCCAATGAAGTTCAAAGTGCAGTACCACAGCAAAAACAAATTACATATTCAGACCTTAGATATTTAGATCAAAGATTATGTTCTGATCTATTTAAACCCAAGGTGTTAACTAAGATATTAGTAAGCTAAATATATACAAAATAATCATTCTCAGGGTAATCTATTGGGAGGTGTCTGTCCCAAACCCTAACCCCTAAATTTCAAATAACACTGACTAACATTTTTTTGGGTAATTTTTCAGTATTTGAATCTTTTGACTTCTTTTAAAATGAAGCTGGAAAAGTTAGATTTATCATGAGTATAAATTTTAAATAAAAAAACTCAAAAATTGCTGTCCCATGTTTTCATGTCAGTACCGAAACACAGTTTTACACACGAAACACATTTAACAAACACCCCTGCATTTTAGAGCAGGAAGTGAGACTGCATCCCTGTCCCTCATGGCCACATGGTGAGCAGTTAGATCCCATTGTTTTGAAGTAAATGTGTCCGAAAGTCTGAAAATCAGTGTGTAACATTAAGAACTGTTATTACCAAAACACATATTTAGAGTTTTAATGAAACATATTTTGATTTTATGTAAACGCAACTGTTCAAAGCTTTGTTTGCTCAAGATGCTCAAGATTAGCTACAACATTTGGTGAACTTTCTTGAGGTTTTGATTGTTCTGGTAGTGACGAAATGGACCGTTCAATCATTTATTTTAATAAAAGAAACATAATTAAGGTATAACTATAACGTCAAGTTCAAGTTAAAAGTCCGAAACGCTTTTTTTTGTCTGGCTTCTAGTTTGTAGACTATAGGAGATTCACATGCCTTGTGAAATGAGGCTGAGGTTGGATCTATAACAACACTGTTTACCTTTGTGTTCATCTGGGATCTTTTGTGTCTTGCTGGGCTCAGCCATTGAGGCGACGTGAGCCCATAGTGCTCCACGGTGTTCAGGAAGCTCCACAGCGAGTCTGAATCGACACAGAGCAAGACAGACATCTTCAAACCATTTCCAAGCAGCCGATACAGCATTTTCTAACACTGAAGCCTTCACGCTGCTCTGTGTGGAGCACAAAGCCTCCGCTCCTTTATCAACACGCAGCCTCGAGCAGCGCACTTCACTCAGACTGTAAACAGTGGCTCGCTTTACCTGTGTTCTGGCTGAAGGCAGTGCACTGGAGAAACAGAATAAAACAGATGAGATGCGGCCAGAGGCTGGAGTGGGCAGCGCGCGGGTCAGTGCAGCCCTCACCCATCACGCACAGCGCACAGCGGGGGGATGGCTGCGCGCGACGAGACGTTCAGAGAGCGTTCTCCATCCACAGCAACGCGTTGATAGCAGCTCTGCGTGCTTACAGTTTCAGCGCGAGCGCAGCGGCTTCTCCGCGCTTTTACATCACCAGAGCGGCCACGCCCCCTTTGGGTCTCCGCTCGCATTGATCACCTCACACCGACCTTTATATGCTACATACGCACCGTACAGCGCTGAAGTCAGAGACCCTCCATTTCTTTTCCAGTCAAAACACACATTAAAGGGGAATTCCACCAGATTCCACCAGATTATTGGTTGAGATATAAACAGAGTCATTCAGAGTGGTTTGATGTGAAATGGTTCATTGTTCAGAAACTTACAGACTTATTTCTTTACAGTGGTGGTAATGGGAACCAGGGTTCACAATGTCTACCACACAAGCATAAACACACGTGTGAACCTTCTGGATTTCTATATGTAATGTTAATGATGGTAAATAATTGAAAATCTGAAAAAATAAGTTTTCTCTGGGGACTATAAGGCCTAGCAACAGCCTGCATGTACCCCTCTGCCATGAATGAATTAAAACAAATGGATTAAAATACATTTTAAGTCAAAATTCTGTCACAATACTTTAAAACAATGTGTCAGACATCTGGCAGCATATACCTAACCATTTCATGTAATAACTTTCTGTGAAGGAGTTTTCAGAGGCATTAAACTCTTCAGACGTCTGGTTCCTATCACCACCACTGGGAACAATTCTGACAAAATAAGTTTATCAAGAGCAGAGCATTTTACATTAAACCACTCTGAATGACTTTGTTTACATCTCAACTGTTTAAAAATGCAGAAATTTTTAAACATTGGTGGAGTTCCCCTTTAAGTACAAGTTATTCATTTTTCATTGTCAGGGGAAAAAAGAGGAAAGATTTGAAGAGTTTTTTATATGATATACATTTCTGAGAGTGAGTTATCTGAGCAACAGCTTCTTGACAGCTACACATCCTTTTAGACCCAACATAACCTACAAGGGTATGTAAATTTTGATTATGTAATACCCAAATTTCTGTGATTATAATTAGCTACATCTGTTTTGTATGATCCCTCATATTTTCTAAAACTGGTTTTAAGTGGTGACAAATTCAGCCAGGTGTATCTAAACTTATGAGCACAACTGTCTGTCTTGTGGCAGATTCCTACCTTGGAAAAGAGGCAAGAGCGATGTTGCCACACACCCACCCAATCACCTCTGTAAATGCTGACATTGCTCAAAAATGGACATCAACTGCTTCCTCCTCATAAGAAGGTCAGTAGAGGGGCCTATGCTATTGTTGCGGAAGTCGTAAGGAAAACACTGAGTCAGTGTGATGCGGATGGGCTGAAACTGAAGGAAGCTGCAACCTGACATTTGGCCATTTGAATGCTGCTGGCTCTGTTTATGTGAGAACATCATTTATTCCATTTCTCTGATACTCACAGTGGTATCTGAAGTTTAGAGGCAATCTAAATGGAAAGCAGATCTGCTGAAGCCATAGACAGCCAGAGAAGATCAGAACGGCCATTAAGGACAAGTTAACCCTTTTTCAGGATATTAGGAATAAGGTAATTCACTTGTTTAAGGCAGGGGGAAATTAAATGAAAAAAACAGGACTTTCCAAAACTGAAGTTCAAAAACTGATTAAAAGCTACAGAGAAAATGGGACTCCAAAGAAACATGCAAGAGCTGGTAGACCAACAAAACTATCCCCATCAGCTAAACAGGAGAAAATCAAGCTCCTCAAGCACCTCTTGCTTCACATCTGAAAAAATCCACAGGTGTTTCTGTCCATCCTTCCACTGTGAGAAGACAACTCAGCACGATGAGTCTGAAAGGATGTGTAGCTGCCAGGAAGCTCTTACTGAGAAAATAGACAAAAAAGAATAATTACAACAGAATACCAGAACTAGATATCTGAGAATTGAAATGAGATTTTATGGACTGATGATTACTCAGATCACAAGAAACAGAAAATGCAACCAACTTCTAAGACTGAACTGAAAAATTGAAAGTCTCCTGAAAAGAAAAAAAGCTGTAATAAAAGCAGAGTGTACACTTTAAATTCTTAAAATGCTATTATATTTAGTTGTTGAGGTTTCTGTGCAATTCTATGTATATTTTTGCTTTTTTCTTGAGGCTAAAAAATTAATGTTGCACTTGCTGGCTATTTTGATTGGAATTTTAATGAGGGGTGGTCTCTGACTTTTGCACAGTACTTCAGTAAAGACTATTAACATCCTCAAGTCAATACTTGTATCACTCAACTGCAGAAATCCTGCAGAAATTAAAGAATAAAGAGATGGTGTCTGCTACAAATTCATATAAACTCTCAGCTAAACACCACAGCAGTTTCTGAGAAAGACAAAGGAATAGTGTTTCCACAGCTGCAACAGGGACAGAGAAATTGAGTTCATGATCCTCTGGCCTGAGGTAAAACACCCAAAAAGATCCAGCCTGCTTATTGCTGCCACCTTCTGGAGTCAAACTGGACTCACATGTTGAGCTGTGACACTAAACACTGCTCCACTACCACAAATGGTAGTTTAGCATAACATGGCTGTGCTAGACAGACAGTGGATCAACGTGTACAGAAGCTTATTTTATGGTTTTACTGGCAATCAGTTTGTTACACAAATGCAAACCAACTAAGTGCTCTCTGAAACTCATATGAGGCTACTGTACTTTTAATGGAACATCTAGTTTTGATTTAAGAACCTTGGCCATATTGTCAGGTTTTAAAATTGTCCAGACAGCTTACCCATAAGAAATGGAATATACTGCAACCTGCTGTCATTATATTCCAATATATTCTGTTGGTATCTAGTTTACATTCAGCAATTTTTTTGGAAGAGTAACTGCAAAGATGGTAAAAGCGGCAAATACAGTCACCTAGGACTCTGTGCTTCAGCACAAGGCCTTAAAGAGATTGCCTTTAAAACAAAGTTTTTTATCAATACAACTTAACATAAAGCACTGACAATTTAAAGCCTTTTCTACAAGCACACAACAATATATTTCAGAGGCTTTATAGTCTGAAAACAGAGATAAAATACAGAGAATGAAGCAGGTACAGAACTGTTTTTTTATCAGCATTTAATTGTAAGTATCATGTCAAGTACATAGTCATTCATATGTATCCATCCATTTCTGAGAAAATGTGCTTTGGTATTCAACAGATCACAATTCATACTCTTTGAACAACGGAATTTGATATTCTTTCCAAATGCATATGAAATTCATGTTAATTAACACGATCGTTTACTAAAATATATTGCAAGTGGAAAGTAGACTATAGAATCGAGCTGCCGTGCCTTATGAAGGCTTAATGGGTTTGGTTATACAGAATGCTTCAGAGTATTTAAGTGTGAAAGTAGTGCTCAAATAGTGACAAATACAGCTGCAAAAATATCGGCAATTGGCGCTTTGTGGTATAAAAGGGCAGAAACGCCCCCTCCCCTCCCCAAAAAACAAAAAAAAACAATCCCTGAGGTTTCCAGAGGAAAAAGTCCAAGTGTTGTCACAGTTTTGCAGATCGGTTTCAAGTCCATCATAAATTGTAAAGTTCCTGCATATTTCAACATTCCATTGTGGTACAGACAGTGTCACAGATAACAACTTGTGTGTAAACTCATTTTGGGCTGGGAGGAAAAAAAAAGAAAAACAAAGAAAAAAAGAAACTTAATGCAACAGCAAGGCAATTTAAGCTGTTTGTTGTCTGCAGTGGGATTTTCAGGACAAGCTCTGCTGAAACTGCATTACAACAGCATTTCTATTGGCCTGGTGCAGAGTTCAGGTGGTTACCTTGCTTAAACAGTGGGTAAATACCCTGAAAAACATGAGGTAGCTGAAAAGTAACAGCTAAGCACAGCTTGTTGGAATGGAACAAGAAAGTAAAATAAGATTCATATTTAAACATCCAAAAACATGAAGGTATCAGCATCATCCCAAATCATTTTACACTCAACAAAAACCACAGTGTTCTCACTGACCAGTCGACAGGAGCAACCAAGGATTATGAACTAAACAGTTCATGCAATAACCACCAAAACCCTGGAATCAGTGAGCAACCAAGCAAGATACTCAAAAAAATATTTACAATAATTCACCAACAGTCCTTTTGGTCTCATATCAACAATAGCTGTATAAATGTAATATCTTTTATGCAGAGGGAAAACCTGAAAAATGACAACGTCTTACACTGAATTAAGCCAAGAGTGGGGGTGAGGGGAAAGGCAAAAGGAACGGGGGCTAACAAAGACGTACAACTGTGAAGAAACACATAAATTAGACTTACACTTAAATACGTATATTGTAAGAATATAGATTTGGTTATAGTAATACAGTATTTCATTATCTTTCAACATTCATTAATTCTTTGGAACTGTACATCAGACATGCCTAAATGCTCTTTGAAACTCATCAGGTAATAACGCTTGTTCCACTAATTCTTAACAGGTAACAATCCTTGTTCATTACAAACCTTACATTGTTTTTCACTCTATTCCTCTCAATGTGATGTAGGCAGTGTATTTTCATTTATTGAGTCAATCACTATAATTTGTTTTGGATTTCTATCAGATGCTAGGCTTTGCTTAGGTATAGGAGCAATTAATATAAGGATAATCATGTTTCTTATAGAAGAATAGTTGTAGGTGAACATAATCTCAAAGGGCTAGCATTTATGGGTTTGGGTGGTCAGAACTGAGGTAGCAACGTTTGCAAGCGTATTCAAGTAAACAAGAGTTTTTGCTTTCTCCAGATAAAGCGCAAAGTTCTGCATTTTAACCATAAAAGACTCAGCAATAACATTCACTCTTTCAAAGTAACTGGTACCACAAGGAACATTCTGTAGTTTATATCTAAACAAAACGTACTGTAACTACATGAGGTAATGTCGTTTTATTAATTAGACCAATATGCTTATTTGAGAGGCTTGAGCTATTTGAATTATAACCTAAGTGTATCCTCTCAAGCCTGGCCTAAGTTGGCGAGGTATGCATTCGCATGTGGCTAATGAGGTTTCTCTGTTGTGTAAACTTGCCCCCACAGATTTGACACTCGTAGGGCTTCTCTCCTGAATGGACTCGCATGTGCTCGGTGAGGCGGTACTGGCGCGTGAAGCGCATGCCACACTCCTCGCAGGCAAAAGGCTTCAGGCCCAGGTGGCTGCGCATGTGGCGCGTCATGGTGCCGCGCTGGGTGAACATTTTACCACAGATGTTGCAAGGGAATGGCCGCAAGGCGTCCAGCTCTTTGTGGGACTTCAGAGGGCTTTTTTCGGTGGCGCCTGGGGCTTCTTGCAGCACTGTGGCAGCAGGATCTTCATCGCCTTCTTCTGCTTCCTTGGTGCCATCCATGTCTACATCTATGTGGGATTCCACATGGGAGTTGAGGCTTTCTGAGGATGGGAATCCCTTTCCACAAGGAATACAGACATAAGGGTTGTCCCCCCGAGGTTGTTTGAGGTAGGACCCCTGCCGATAGACAAAGTTAGGGCTGGTATCACTAGATCCTCCATTCTCTGGCTGGTTTTGGCCATTCTCTTCACAGTGGCTCTCTTTATCATCAGGTGATTCTGATTTGAAGACGAGGTTTTGGCTTATGTGACTCCCGCTCTTGATAACAGGGAAATAACCATTGACGTTGCCTTTCCTCCTGGAGCGCTCCCTGGGAGGGGTTCTTCTCCATTCCTGAGCTCCATCGAAAGAAACCAGGCCACTGGCGTTCTCTGGAGACCTCTTTCCCTCTACACCTGATGGGAGGCTGTTGGCAGTTGCCCTGGAAACAGAGGACTGAGAGTATCCTTTGCTGACCTCGTTGCTTAGAGAAACCACAGAACAGAATGGAGAACTCTTCTTGGTCAAATCCAGTCCAAAGCTCTTCTTGTTACTGGAGATACACTTACTCTCACCATTGTTCCTCTTCTTCGGAGGGACCATGCTCGCATACGCTTCAACGTCAGATGAAGCGTCTTCAGCCTCCCGTTTGGGCAAGGTTTTTGAGGTGGGTGAAAAAGGCTGATGCGTACGTAAGGAGCTCTTGCCAGTGGCCGACCCACCGGGGTCAAGCTTGCTGGAACACAGACTGGCGAGGTCATGGAGCTGCAGGTAGTTAGCTACAGTAAGAAGGGCGCTCAAATTCTGTACACGCTCAGTTCCCTGACTCTCATCAGACAACCTGCCAGTATAAATGAAGTCCAGAATCGTTTGGAACACGTCTGGATCCACCAGCTCAGAGTCAAGGTGGATGAGGTTGTCATGAAGGACCAGGGACTTGAAATAGCTGCTCGTGGCGGCAAGGACGCTCTTATGCGCCCGAAAGAGTGTGTTCTCCACCATAATGACGACGTCACAGAGGAAGCCCTTGGAGCGTTGCTGGTTGAGCTGCAGCAGCAGTTGACTGGCATAATTTGAGGGCTCCATCTCCTGCCCTTGACGTTTTTCATTGAGGTGACTGAATGGAAAAAGACCAAAAAACAACACTTTTATTTTCTAATAATAGACCTTTAAAGGGTAGTGTCATAATTTCTCATACTCTCATACTCTTAGGCTAAAGCTATAAAATCATTCAAAAATAATTTGGGTTTGTGTAACAGCTAAAAACATTGGACCTCATTCACCACCTGTTTTTAAGAAGAAATTTCTTCTTAAAACCCAGTTTTCACGAAGATTCTGACATTCACCAACGTTTTTTATTTGGGATTTGTTCTTAGGTAAGAACAGAATCTATGCACACTCAGGAGCACAAAGGTGCAAAAATTCTACGTTTTACGTACATATCATAAATCTGGGAAAAAAAAAAAGTCTCTCTCAAGAACAAACTCAGGAAGATATTGGTAAATGAGACGCATTGACCCTCAAAGGGCCCATAACATGGAAAATTAAATATTCCTCACTTTTTTTCAATGAAAGAGTATGATGTATGTAAACCTTGTTAAACATACCGTTCCCTCCCTAGTCAGTGCAGTCTACATATGGAAAATAAACTGTAAAAACAGTTCATTTTAAACTCAACAAAATCCAACGCCTTTATGAATGTATGAATCATGAATTTTTAAAGGAAGATTATTAGGGGTTAGCCATGATTGGGCAAGCTTTATTTGCCTTGTTTTTCCCTGAAGCTCACACTGTGTGTACAATATAGTTACATTTTTATAAAATATTAACAAGACATACACTGTTTACTCTTTAATGGGCCAATTTGGCATTTTAAATTCACAGATGATAAATCAGTTTTCTATTTAAGTAACATGAATCAAATAAAGTACTACATCGACAGTTAGAGGCAATTGGCTACTTAGCACATTGAACCATACATAATTATGCTACATTTTGGTAGCAGCGTTCATATGCAATGCTAGCGTACTTACCCTGCTCACACTATTTACATAACAAAATTGCAGCAAGGATTGGCCAAAATCAAAATTACAAACTGTCCAATGCTGATTGTGGGTTTAGGGCAAAAATCTTATTATTATGATCATGATTATGATCTTTGCTGAGTCCAAACATGCAACCCTAGTATTTACATATATGCGCATATTCATCCTATGGCAGTTTAGCTCCGCCCACTCACAGTGAAGCAATAAGGAGTGTTTCAGGCCTGGACCACTCTGAATGAGGCAAAGTACAGGGCAGACAATTTACATATATTTTAAAGACACAATAACAAGTACAGCCTGTTTAATTCTAAGGGAACGAGTGGTTGGAAAATGATCATGCAAAAACGAATAACGACCGTTTTCTTTACATAAAACCACGCTAATACCATAAGCAGACCTACGAGGGGAAAATAAAGTGTAAGAAAAATGTAGCATACGGGCCCTTTAACTAGCCTGCATTGATTAAGGAAGCACAGCGTTGGGACTGAGCCCCAGTCTTTACACACTAACCTTTCACACGCTGGAAAAGTATCCGTTTCTAGAAAACAGGTGATGCATTCATACCGTTTGACGAAAGAGACAAAAAGACATGATCTTGTTAGAAAATGTAAGACTACGGCAGCGCAGTGGGAAAGCACAGCTAACCGAGGCGAGAGTCGCTGAATGCGGAACTACGGCAGTAAACACTAATCGCCTACAGGCAGCCAGAGCCAGAACATATTTCCTCTACTGCGTTACGGTATTTATCACGACATGACACGCAGCCAAATACAGTGCAATGCTGCATTTTCCTCTCAGACGTGAAATGGCGAAAAAGGAAAGACGACATGGCTCGTTAAAGAGAGAGAAAAAAGGCAGTCCCACCTTGCCAGGCTGGTATGTCTAGGTGGCTGCAGGAGGGGTTAGGGTTAGCCTGCACCGAAACGACTCGAGAGAGACCGTTTCAGAGCCTTTTTACCCGCTACCGTTCATTCACGCCCTTCGCGACACCTTCACGCTCACGTATAATGCGAATGTTCTGAATCACACAGTGGATTAAAGGTAATCTCGGTGTTAAATAACGTACCTTTCGAGCAAGGGCAGGGGTCCTCGTTTCTCGCGTCGTCATCAAAACGCCATCTTAGCAGCTTGTGACGTAGGCGGAGCCTCGTAACCCCTAACCCAGTTCAGCCGAACACAGAGAGCCTGAGCTCATCAGACCTGAGCAGGTGAGCTCACTACTGAAGCATCGCAGGCAACATTCAAATCTACATGTAACATGTAAATTACATGTAATATGTCAATATGTATGGAAATGTATTAAGCACAACCTCTCTCTATTGTCACGCTCAATGGACTAATGTGTGCTGGCCTATTAAAGGGCCCATATCATGGAAAAGCATATGTAGTACGTAAACATTGGTACTTTTTTTTTTTAAATGTGCCTTTTTGTACTATTTAGTCCCAATCCATGTGGTATTTGGAAATTAAGTTGCAAAAAGTGCCAGTTTTGAATTCATTGTCACAAAAAACAAACAAACAACAAACAAACTAACAAAAACAAAAAAACAGATAACCTATACTGCATTCAGGTGCTCATCAGCAGGTTGTATGTACCAGATGATTCACTAGTAAAAACGCCGTTAGGGTATTTGTTCATAGATACACCCACCACGCGGAAAAAGAAAGCATGGTGGTCCCGAGAATACCGTCCTGCTTTTTATTTGATGCATTAGTGCATTAGTGTTGAAATTTCATTCATACAATTTTGAACCATTTATGCAAGTAGGTCTTGAACTGTATGGATATGTTTTAGGGGATTATATAAAGCGTTAAAATGCTTTCATTTACCTTGACATATACTATTGCATTTACTAATAAAGCATTTTAAATGTCATTTTCAAAGACAATATCACAACAGGGAAACAGTGTGATGCAGTGATTATTTCAAAAAACAAGAGGGAAAACTTATGTATGTTATGCTGTGTAAAATGACTTTAATTTTAAAGGGTAATATCACCAGTCTTTCTAAATTTCTACATTATTCAATGAGATGTAAACAATGCCCCCAGAGTGGTCTGATGTCAAATGTTGCATTATAGAGAAACTCCTTTTTTAAACAATGGTGGTGATAAGAATAAGGATTTACAACCGGTAAACAAACAGTGAAGCTACACTGTTTTATATGTAATGTTGATAATGATAAAATAGTGGAACATCAGGAAAACATCTGTATCTTTGTGGACTGTTTTACCTTAGAATTCCCTTCATTCAACTCTCTAGGATCAATGGATTTCAAAAAATAAGTTTCAGGCCAAAACGTATTTAGGCATCAGGCAGTGTATGACCTTGTCATATAAAACATTTCTGTGAGCTAGCTTTTGGGGTCATTAAATGCTGGTTCCTATAAGCATTTCACATTTTAAGTATTTCACATTAAACCTCTCTGAATTACCAGTCAAAAATCTTAATTTAATTATGCAGAAATTTTGCAAAATCGGAAATTTCCCTTTGATGGCTAGGCCCGCACAGGCTATTGACTGATTATAATGATAGTGCTCAAGCAATAGAGCTGGACCTTGTATGAAAAAATACATTTATTTAGTATAGAGAGATTGAAATTTGATGTTTCTCCACCAATTACACATTCCACACCAAATACAATATATACATATGATATAAGGAAAATAAAGTTTTTCTGAACGGCTATGAAACCTCAAACTCTAATACAAAGTCAGCATAAATAACTCCAGACCGAGATCATAGTCACAGTTAGACCAAACACTGAATCCTTACAATACGGATTGACAGAAGAGTCTCTTATTAATGCTATACAGTCTCTTATTAATGCTATACAGTAAAAGATACTTCTGCAAGACAATGCAGCATGAACAGTTATTCAAATGTGTTTCAGGATTGTGTTTTACATCAGGAACAGTGCATCAGTGTTTCTACTAGTTGTGTTGGCAGTGACTGTTCTCAAGGCTAAAGGACCGTGGCCTCATGGAAAGCTTCTATCCACCTGTAATATAAATGAAAGAAAACGTCACAAACTTTGAGCTGCATCTTAAAGTTCTTAAAGCTCTGAAATGGTAAATATTGTAATTTATTTTAAAACAACTACATCATGAAGCCATCTGTAGGTATACCTGTGGTAGATATGAGTGTCATCTGTCTTAAATATGTAGAAGAGTTTCTTTTTGTGGTAAAGCCTGAACTGCTGAGAGGATTCAGACTCTTCTTCTAAGAGAGAGAAGCCAAGCAGAGGCAGACTCTCCAGGGCTACGATGTCCTAGATGTGGAGAAACCAAGATATGATGGACATTCTACAACAATTCCCACTAAATAAATAACCAATGACTACTAGTGTTGGTCCAATAGTCATGAATTCTTGAGGAGGGCCCAGAAGATGCTAGGTAGGGCAGAATCCAGCAGTGCAGAAACAGTACAGGATTTTCATTTTTCTCTCTCTCTGCTGAATCTGTTGTATACTGTCAATTACCATGAACAATAATTTCGACATGTTGCCATGTGCTTATTATGAGGACACACAGGCATTGACTTACTTATAATAGCAGCCAATGGGCAGTTGTTTAGCATCTGCCCTTTGGCTTATGTTCTTGTTTCAAGTCAAAAGGTCATCTGTGTGGTAACTGACGACAGAGACAGCAGATAGAGTATATTTGTGTATATTCAGTGTCTAGTAGCTTTAGTTTTTGACAGTGACAAACTTATATTTCACCTACCTCACTGGCAGCGTAAGTGTAGAGCACTTTGTTCTTGATGACAAACCACAGCTTCTTCCACTGTTTCTTATTGGCCTTCATCCTCTCCAGATAGCCACTCATGGACGACTCATCCGTGTTTGCTGACACCTTCAATAATATAGCCAGTGCGTGAGTTAATAAATAATTTAATTAAACAACCAATTAATTCCATGACTCCCAGGTTTGGTTCTGTGATGATGGATGCACTGCAATATTTAGTGCATCACCTGTTTTTACCAAACTTTATATAATTTATGAAGGGCCTGGGAACAAGCTGATTAATCAAAATAGCTGCAGAGAAGAGAAAATACAATTTTTTCGGCGCAGACCAGATTTAGGGTTTATCATAATCATTAACATTACAAAGGGCAACTAAAATGAATTCACTCTAAATAATAGATGTGGATTCCCAGCTTTCATACCTCTTTCAGGGCTGCTGGGATCTTCTTCTGCTTTCTTAAGTGAAAGCCACCAGGTTTAGAATTTGGAGAGACCACACCATTACCTGTTGTGAATAAATAAGAGCACACTATCAATGAAAGGAATTATGAACTCAGTTATTAAAGCAATACTCTATCATTTTTAACCTAATCTCTATCTGCCTTATCCGTAGTCTACACACTTAAAATGATGGTTCTCTAAGGGTTCTTTGGTAAAGAAAATGTTTCTATATAGAACCATGAACACTCAAAGAACTCTTCGCTTGATTGAAGGGTTCTTTGCATCATGAAAGGGATCTACAGATTGATGGGGAACATGCTGTAAATGGTTGAAAAGAGTCCTACATAGCACCCAAAGGGGTTTTTCTATTATTACAAGCTTGACATCATAACAATAGAAAAACCCTTTTTGGTGCTATACAGAACTCTTTTCAAAAAGAACCATCTATAGCACCATCTCCATCAATATGAAGAACCCTTTCACGGTGCAAAGAACCCTTTAATCATCCAAATCACTTTAATCACTTTCTCTAGGTTTTTCTGGTATCCATGGCTATCAGGCGGAGGCTGTGAAATCTCCACCAACCTCACTACATTTGAAGTGTTGTGTTGTAAAATGCATTATAGACCACTTTCATGCATTTTCTTTTTTTCCCCATGATATACTGTGTTGCGAGTGGTCTTTATGCATACAAGAAATATTGATGCTATATCATTATTAATACCACCTTTTTAGAGAAATACAAATATGTATTTCATTATACAGCAGTTATTCTTTATCAAAATGTGTTATCCAAAATTGTTACAAATGGATATACAGCATTTTGGAATCAAACTCTTCATTTGTAACACACTACCACAAATTCTTCCCTCTAGAAAACTAGTACCATGTTTTAAAGCTTAACTACTGAATCACACAGACTTACAGTTTAAATTACAAATACAGTGAAGTCCAAAAGTCTGAGACCACATTAAAAATCCTTCCTGGTTTAAGTGATTTTTTTTCACTTAAATCAGGAAATAAATGACAAAGTTATTGAATGTAAGACACAGAAAAGTTATGACAAGTAAAATGAAGAATAAATTCAGGATTCTGAACTATTTCTAGGTCACTATTCAAATTTAGGAAAATTTGTGACCGTCTGAGGCTTTTGTACTGCACAATATCATTAAAGCAAAAAGGCATACATATCCATACATACATACATACATACATACATACATCATCTAAACCACTTATCCTTCTGGGTCACAGTGGGGTGCTGGAGCCTATCCCAGCTGTCATTGGACGGAAGGCAGGATACACCCTGGACAGGTCGCCAGTCCATCGCAGGGCAGACAGACAGACAGACATACATATACAATCACACACACACTCACACCTAGAGGCAATTCAGCATTTCCAATTGGCCTGACTGCATGTCTTTGGACCATGGGAAGAAACCGGAGTACCCAGAGGAAACCCACGCGGACACAGGGAGAACAGGCAAACTCCACACAGAAAGAACCCCGGTCGCCCGGCCTGGAATCGAACCCAGGCCCTTCTTGCTATGAGGCGACAGCGCTACCCACTGCGCCACCGTGCCACCCGCATACATATCCAATATTAACAAATTTTGAAATTCATGTAAACATTTCAGAGATTCTACTTTTCATTCACATTGTTTGCTGATGAAATAACTTGTAATGAATAGTATTGTTTTCAATTAGAAAAGAATGCAAAACAGAAACAGACTTTTGGACCCCACTGTATGTTTGACTTCATGAAGGTGTTCAACAAAAATGTAGGTTTTACATACGTTTTACATTTATTGACAGAATTCAGCAACTGTCCAGTGGTTTCTATTATGTGTGAGTTTTGATGTCCATG